TTGTTCTGTGCCTGGGTGAGCCAGGCCCCAGCTGCCCGGTCACTGCGTGAATTAACTCTCCTCCTGGGCAGCCGTCTTCAGGTYGGGCCTGGTCACTGCAGAGGTCACACTGATGGGCCCTCCGTCCCCGACACCCACACACCACCTGTAACTAGTCTCCATCTGCCAGGCCCCGGGACGCCCTTGCCCTGCATTCAGCTGATGGTGGAGCCCRCGTGCCAGGCTACCCACGGAGTTGGGCTGCCCCGGGGACAAGAGTCCAATGTGCCCCCCTGGCCATTCACGGCTCCCCAGGCTGGGTTTTGCTTTAATAGAATTTTCACTGTTGCCRTGAAGTAAGTCAGAGACCAGGCCTGAGGACGCCCCGAGCAGACCAAGAGGGTCACGCTGAGCGAGTCCCTTACCCCTGCTTGGTGGGCAAACAGAGCTCCTTCCTGAAACGGCCCAGATGAAAGAGCAACGGAGTGTGGGCCCCACCACAAGGAGCCACCAACACACCTGCAACTGTGTGACAAAGAACTTTCCAACAGCATAAGACAACTTTACAGCTGTCACCAAATGCTGTCTTCGCATGTGGTCCACAATGTCTCCGTCAAAGCCTGTTCCTGACTCGGCTACGGCGGACCTCACACCACCTCGGGTTTGGAGCTGGCCGACTCTGTGATTGCTTTTGCTCAAATGAACTCTTTAAAGGCTCACCGTGCCCCGGGTTCACTGACACTAGACATTCATCTATTGCATGCTGTCAGGTTCTGGATCTGAAATGCCCCCAAAGGCTGATACGTTGAAGGCTGGGTTCCCGCAGTGTCCAGAGGTTGGGAAGTGATGGGATCACAGAGAAGTTAGCCTCCCCCATAGCTGATGGCATCACTGAGAGCCAATGGGAACTGGGGGCTGGGGACTAGGGAGAGGAAGCAGTCACTGAGTCAGGCCCTCAGAGGGCATATTTTGTCCCCAGCCCCTCCCTCTCTCTCTTTCTCCTCCACCACACCCTTCCGCCAGAGTGTTTCCCTCTAAAAGCAATGAAACTAGCTGACCATGGACTGAAACCAGGAGCCAAAACTAAATTTTTTCTTCTTTAAGTTGTTCTTTCTCAGGTATTTTGTCACAGCAACACRAAGCTGACCGACACACCTGCTCATAGTCCATCTGTTCTCAAAGCATGCTCCATGAGAATAGAGACCTTGTCTGCTTTGACTGCAACCATCTCCTGAGCACTGACTTCGCTGTCTGGCACATCATGTGGGTACGTGAGAAATATTTGGCAGGTGCACCAATGAACAAATGGCTCTGACCTACCATTCCGGCATGTTCTTCCTAAGCACCTGTTCAGGTCCCTCTCCCATCAGTGAAATCAATACCATGCGTGGCTCACAGGTCCCCGCTCCAAGTCTTTGTTCCTGCTGTTGTCACCACGTGACCTACTCCTTCTTCAATGCCCAATTCAAATCCTGCTCTGAGGGTGTGAAGGGCACCGTGGAAAGAGCTGGGTAGGTGCTGGAACTGAGCTCGGAGGCCCAGCTCTGCCCGAGMCTAGCTGGGAGGCCCTGGGCAAGCCCTTCCAACTCAGAAGTTCAGCTGCTGCCTATGAAACAGGACCACTGTCCACCTTTGCAAGGTTTGTTTGCTTAGGCGTTTTAGAGTAAATTAAATGAGACATTCAAAAGAGGGACTCAAGTGTGACTTCCCCCCTCGTCCCTCCTCTTCAAAGCTCTCATAGAGCCAAACAGCCACACGGCCTTTGACTCCCCCGTCAATCTAAAAACAAACAAAAACAAAACAAAACAAAAAAACAATCGGAGAGAGACTCTCCAAAGAATGACGACATTTATTTGGAAATAGCAGACGTTACCACGGGAACGCACACTCCATACAAACGTGGGCATATCCAAAGAGGTAGCAGCAAGTCGTCCTTGACCACAGTGATTAATAACCAGGATGGAGTCCGTCCGAGGTCCAACAGACGGCCGCTGGGCGGATGTCCCTGTGGACCATCGTCTAAGATTGCGTGGCCTCTGTGCCGGGCTGTGGCTCTGGAAGCGTCTTTGTGATAAGCTGCCGTCAGGCAGCCACAACCTCCTGGCGTTATTGACTTTTTGGTGTTGTTGGAGCTGACACAGGTGACCGCTTTGATTCTGATGACTTTCACACTTGTTTCACACCCGTGAGCCCCGTGAGGTCCATCTGGACCCCTGACCTCTTGCTGGCGGGGTCCCTGGCCCTTCAGGGCCTGACTTCACAGTCCCCTTGCTCTGGAATGTGGGTTCCTCAGGGCAGGGTCTGTGTCCCCTTCCCCTACCTCTCCCCAGGGCTGGCCACTCAGGAGATGCTCAGGGACATCCGTGGGTTAAACGTGTGGAACAAGGAGACCTGAGGCCAGGAGGGCCAGGGCTGTGGGGAGCCGGGCAGGGACTGTCTGGAGGGAGGGCTGGCGTCCAGTCCACACCACCCAGGAGTGGCCAGAGCTTAGGCTCACCCCAGAGAGAGGCACAACCAAAGGAAATCAGATGGGGAGCTAAACCACGGATTCAGCAACTTCCCTCTGCGCCACTCAGTTCTGTCCAGGGAGGGGGCTGGACCAACGGTCTCTGGGGATGAGGGGCAAAGTGGAAGGGTGGGCTTTACACTGGTTAGCCCGTGGGCTCACGMCTGTCACTCACCTCTCTGGGCAGGTCTTCTCAGCTGTAAAAAGGTGCAAATGACCCTTAATTGATGGGCCTGCCCAGTGGATTAGAGGGGACAGTGAGGCCACAGTCCCTGGCAGGAGCCCAGCACTTAGAAGGCCTGAGAGCCTCTCTTCCCACCTCCCTCCTTTGCCACCTCTGATTCTCTCCTCCCCAAAAGTCCCCGTCCTCACTGGGACTGAGATCCACCAGGGCTGCTCCTGCTCCGGTGGAAGGAACCTTGCCGTCCCTGGGCAGTGCCTGGTTGGCCGACCCATGTGGGGCCCAACTTCTGAGGGACTCAGCCCCTGGTTACCATAGTGGTCCATTCCCCTCTTGGCACAGAGGAAAACACCCCTGCAGTCCCCTTGCCTCTAGAGAGCATCAGATGACTCCTCCTGGCCACAGAACCCCAGCAGAAGTCCTATTTTTTTTTTTTTAAAGAGAGAGTGAGAGGGAGGGAGAGAGAGAGAGAGAGAGAGAGAGAATTTTTAATATTTATTTTTTAGTTTTTGGCGGACACAACATCTTTGTTGGTATGTGGTGCTGAGGATCGAACCTGGGCTGCACTCATGCCAGGCGAGCGCGCTACCGCTTGAGCCATATCCCCAGCCCCTAGAAGTCCTATTAACCACTTCCACTTCTGACTCATTAAAGGCCCCTCCTTTGTTCTCCCCATTTCTCTTGAAGCCCACAGTTGGAAGATGATGGCATCACAGTTTGGAAAGTCTCTGAATGGATGCCAACCACGTCACACTGGTGTAGGTGAGTGATGCCACTCCTGAGATTTTAGGGCTCACTTGTTACTGCAGCAGAGCCTAGTCTCCCGTAGCTAAATCACAGAGCCTGACTTCCAAAGGGCACAACACTTAAACCAGGACATCTTTACCTGTCCCTCCTCTCAGGGGAGTCCCTCTTTCTCTTGACTCCTCCTCCTCAGGGAATGGGGACCAGTCTTCCCCACCCCAGCTTCCTGCCTGCACCCATTGTGAAGACACTCACTTTCAGTTTGCGGGGGGGTATCTGTCACTGTCTTGCAAATTGGTTCCAGTGGCCAGCATAGAATTCTGGAACTTCCCAGGGGAGTTCTTGGATCTATGACACCCATTCCACACCTTGGGCTGGGCCTCAGTGTCCCCACAAACACCATAAGGGCCTCAGAGGGGCTTTCCTGCTCTGACACTGACCAGCTGACAAGAGCACATTGAAGAGGGACGGCCATGGCTGGCGTCGCCCTGCACCCGRCCCAGCCTCCTCCCTGCAGGTGCCCATAAACCCCCTCCCCTGGCTGGATAAGCACTTGTTTATGGGCACCAGCTCCCAGCCCCGCCCCTGGCTCAGATCCCCAGGCCTCCTGCCGCCGCCCTGACACCTGCATCCCGGCCCTGGGGGTGGAGAGTTTGTTCCTTATCAGCCCTCTTACTGACCCCACCCTGGTTACACAGTGGTGTGGAGCAGAATTCCTRGCCAGGACGGATCCGCCACTGTCAGCTCCGGCCATCGGTCCAGTGCACAGGGAGGAAAGGCAGAGCAAGCAGGAAAGAAGCAGAAGGACCCCCAAAGGAGGAGGGACACCCCGGGCCAGGCGGACAGAGCCCAGCTGTGAAGCGAGGCCCAGGAGAGGAAGCAGAGACGCTGGAGAAGGGCCAGACCCCACGCCCTGCGACCGCCTTTCCTCAGCCTCCACCTGCAGGACGGCAGGGGTCCAGGGCCCCAGAGGCTCCTTCTGGAGTCTGGAAGCAGTAGGATTGAAGGAAGCCCAGGTTTCTGGAAAGATCTCCCAAGCTTCAGCGCAGCCCAAGGCCAAGTGGCCAGCTGGGGCCCACAGGTGGCACCCCAACCTCCCAGGGGCTGGCCAGAGCCCGCAGGAAGGGCCACAGGCCAGAGAGAGGGCAGAGGTGGACACACTCCTTCCCCCGTCTGGCCGACCTGGGACGTCCTGCCACCCCTGCTYGCCTTTGTCTCTTCTCCTCCCCTGGGCTGTGACCTCGGGGACCCTGGCCTGGGCTGGTGATTGTGAAAGCAGCCACCTCTCAGAGGACCCCAGGTTGGCAATGCTGCCTCCTGTGACTTCAGGTTGCTGAGGGCTGAGGGCCCAGGACGCGGACCAGCTGGCCTTCCTGCAGGGAGCCGCCCTCTGGGTCCYCGGTGCATTTGGAAGTCCATGGAAGTCCCCGCCGTCACAGGATCGTGCCTGGATCATCCAACGGGAGGCTCCCCCTTCTGCAGCTCCACCTGCCCTCTGGGTCCCGCGGGGCTCAGAGAAGGAAGCACGTCACCCTCTGCGGGCACCCTCCTGGGCACACGGAGCCAGCCACACACAGCTGCCCTGAGGAGGCGCCACGGGGCGCCCTGCTCCCTGCAGGGGCATGGAGGGGAAGAGCTCGGGGTGCTGTGAGGCCCCCAAGAAGCTGGGCCTGTCCTTCTCCATCGAGGCCATCCTCAAGAGGCCCACGGAGAGGAGAGATGCAGCCGGGTCACCAGGGGCCKGTGGAGGGAGCCCGGGGCAGGCAGCGGCGGAAAGTTCCAGGCTGGCGAAGTCCCCGCAGCACCAGCCCCCGGGTAAGTGGCTTCCGGTCATCTCTCTCCGTTCCCTGGGCTCCGAGGCCCAGCTGGGCTCTGGCAGAGAAAGCAGGAGGCAGGGCCCTGATCTCAGAGGGGCCCGGGTTCTGGGCTGGTTGCCATATATACCCTCCAACCCGACCTGGGACTGGGTGCTGGGTGCAGAGCTCCAGGGCTCCATGTTGCAAAATGCAGGGACCGAGGCTTGCGCTTCTCACCAGCCACCGCGGAGAATGCTGTTGCCACTTACTGGCGATGTGGCGGGCACCGTCCTTTAGTTTCAGTATCATAACTAGACAGGAGAGGAACTCTCGGGAGAGCTGGACAGTGTCCCCAGGTTACCTGAGATCAGGGCCTGGCTCAGCTGTCCCCAGGTCCCTGCTCAGCCGGGCTCATGAGCTGAGCTGGGCCTGCATGTCCTCCAGTGGCTGAAGTTTTGCCCAGTGTCTGCCCTCTCTGATCCCTCTGCCAGTGGCCATCCCAGGGAATGTCCTATTAACAGTGACCAGACAGATTTCAGAGCCCTCCTCAGAGCCTGCTTGACAGGGGGCGAGGTGGTGCTGGGCCGTGAGGTGGACACACACCTGCTGACAGCAGTCTAGGTGTGGGTCTCTGTTCTGCCCTGACCCACTGTGTGTCCTCACGAAGGTCCCTGTCCACTCTGGTCTCGGCTTTACCCTGGGTGAGATGGCTAACAAGAGGGAAGAAGAGAGTTGGCACCGGTGACATCTTGAGGGTCACTTGAGTCTGACAGGCCTCAGCCCTGAGAGCTCCCAGCTCTCCCCCCTCTTCACACTTAAATCCAAGAAGATGCTAGAAAGGGAGCTGGGGGGGGCTTGACGTCACCCCTGCCTTGAACAGAGCGCCGCCCCGTGGAGCCTCCCACAGAGGAGGCTGACGGGTGCTCAGCTGTAGGCGGGGGACCTGGAGGCCACCAGCTGCTGGTGGCCCTGTAGCTGGGGCCGGCGGTGGGAAAGGGCCCCTGGCTGAATTTTCTCAGGTTCATTAACATCTTCCAGGCGACGGGGCTTTCACAGAAGCAGTTTCACTGAGGCTCCAACCCAGGTCTCTCCTGCTGCTTCTGTGTGAAACCCATGACCACCCTGCGTGTCACAGTGACGCAGAGAGAGGGGACAGGCCCCATCTCTCCTACCAGGACAGCTGCCCCTCCCAGCCTGGTGAAGGCTGGTGGTAGAAAGGAGGCCATTCTCCCAAAGCCTCCGCTGAGGACTCAGGCAGACCCCATGTCCTCCTGCTGCACCCAGAGCAGACCCTGGGAAGCACTGGCCATGACATGGGAGGGTGCCCCGCGACCATCACAGAACTTTCATGGCCACCTTCGCATAAGAGCCCCACTTTTTTTTTTTTTTTTTTTTTTTGGTGCTGGGGATCGAACCCAGGGCCTTGTGCATGCCAGGCAAGCGCTCTACCAACTGAGCTCTATCCCAGCCCCCGCCCCATTGCAATTTGAAGCTACCTCCCCCACTCTGCTGAAATTCGATGTTCCAGAAAGCCTGGGGATGGTCCCACTGGTAGTTTTCAAGGTGACACTGATAGGCACGCAGGAAAAGAGGTTTCTGTCAACCGTTCTGTAGTCACTTTTACGCTAATCTTAGAGAAGCTGTTGGTGACAAAAGGCACCATTATCTATCTGTAGTCGTGATGTGAGTTTTTTTGTTTGCTTGTTTGTTGTTTGTTTGTTTTAGTTGTCAGTCACCTTTATTTGTATATGGTGCTGAGAATCTAACCCAGGGCCTCACACATGCCGGGCATCGGAGCCAAAGTGTCTGAAAACTCATTAGCATGGCACTCTGCACTGAGCTATGACCTCAGCCCTGTTTGTTTGTTTAATAAGTGCATTTATTTGAGCAAAAAGAAAAAAGTCTATTGAGGACATTTTTCAAAAATCATAACATAGACGGCTGCAAATATGTCAGACAGTCCAAAGGTAACCTGCAGAAATGGCAGATGATCTAGGGTGGCTGTGASGTGCTGTGCGCAGGGGAGGGATTTGGGAAACCTGGCCTCGAGGCCCAGATCTGGCACCAACTCACAGGGAGACCTTGGGCAAGCCCCTCCCTCTCTAGGCCTCAGTGTACCCCGAGCTGGGCTGTGGGCAAGGCCTCTCCAGCTCTGACCCACCCTGGCTGATTCAACAGCAAACCAGCTACTGAAAACCTTAGGGTGATTCCCAGGTGGTCATTTTCCACCTGAGGAGGAGGGCAAGCCCTCCCAGAGCCCCTGGCCCAGCCAGTGTGGGTGGCTGATGGCCGATGCCCCTCCCATCCCCTGTCCTCCTCCTCCTTCCATGCAGTGCCCCTCAGGGAAGGACAGCAGGATAGAAATAGCAAGGTCCTTCCGCCCCAGATCAACGACGGAGTCAACTCCTCTTTGTCTCTCATTCAGCATTTACGGGGCCACATGGAATGGCTCACAGACACCCGCTCCCATCCAAATGACGCAGGCGCTTACAAAATTGCAGCGTCTCGGGCCCAACCTCCAAAATCTGACTGTCCTGCAGGGCAGGACCCGGGAGCCTGTGTTCTAAGCAGCGTGCTCCGTGGTACTGATGTGGGGTCCACGGTGACTCTTGGAGGAGGTCTGGGCTCAGAGCAGTAAAGTGACTTCTTCCAAGCCACAGAGCCCGTACGTGCAGGCTCTGAGGTCCRGGCTCCAGGGCTGACCCAGGACCCGCCGGCCTTGTACCTCAGGCCAGGGACCCAGCTCCTCCCCCCATCTTCTCATTCCCTTGGGGACCCTCATGATGGATGGGTCCGGCCCTCCCAGGTCTCAAGTCCATGGGGACGTGCAAGAGGCTCTCCCCATCTGAGGTGCTGAGYCCCGCCTCCCACTCTCTCCTCTTGAGAGGCAAGCCCCCCGGAGTCCCAGGACCCCCCAAATCCTGCGACTCAGTCAGGAGGAACCTCCTTTTTGTACCAGAGACCCAGGCCTTGAAGAGAGAGAGCTCATTTCTGTGTCTCTCCACCGATCACCACGTGCAAGGAAGTCCCCACACAGGGGGAGGGGAGGGGAGAACACCTGTGGGGGTGGCCAGGCCTGGGGGGCGTGCACGGGAGTCCCCTCACCTGCTCATGAGCCACCTCATGAGTGAGTAAGTGCTGAGAGCCCATGTGAGGCCAGGCTGGCCCTGGAGAGGTCGGGGGACCACAGTGGGGACCACCCAGGGGCACAGTGGGCTCCTTGGTGTCTGAGGAAGGTCGTGTAGCAGGGTCAGCTGGCAACCTTAAGTTCTGGTGGCCAGATGATCTCTGTCACAATTACCTCTGCCATCGGAGCCAAAGTGTCTGAAAACCATGGGTCAAGGAATGGGTGTGTTTGTGTTCCAATAAAACTTTATTTAAAAAAAGGCCACAGGTTGGATTTGACCCTCCTGTGGTAGCTCATCGACCCTAGCCCCTGACTCATTAGCATGGCACGCCAGGTCCCTCCCAGGCTGACCTTCTGGCCCCCAGGCTGACCTCCTGTCACACACCCCTGCCCTCATGGCCATCCCTCGAGACACATGGGCTGTCCTCTCGTGTCCAGATCTTTTCTCCCTTCCCACGGCCCACGGCTCCTCCTGCCCCTTCCTCCTCTGCACCCCACGCCAGTTTTCCATGACTATTGCAATGCGTGGCCGTGAGGGAGGGTCTCAGAACCCAGAAATCGGGGCCTGACCACACTGCCGTGAGGTCAAGGTCAGCGTCCTCCRGAGGCTCCGGGGGCAGATCCAGTCCACACTCCCCCTGGCCCCCAGCGGTGCCAGCCGACCTCGGCCCACTCTGGCTGTGGAGCATCTGTCCCCGTCTCCACACTGCTACCCTCTGCCTGGGTCTGTCAGCTTGTCCTCAAAGGACACCAGTCCAGGATGAGTGCTTCTCAACATCCTTCATTACGTCTGCAAAGATCCTATTTGCAAATAAGGTCACACTCACTGTCACCAGGGGTCAAGTCTCGGATGTCCCTTGGTGCTCCTCACCCACTCTGCCTTCCCTTGCTTCTTGGCCCCTCCTTTGCCTCTTCCTTCTCTCCGCCCCCACTCACCCCACTCCTCATCCCTCTCCTCTTTCTTCTTTCCTCTTCTCTCTCCTTTGTCTCTTCTCCTCCTTCCCTTCCCTGCCTGGAACCAAGCTCAGCTGCTCTGGGCACCGGGAGAGGCAGCCCTGGCATAGGGCTGAGGCTGGAGCCCATGGGGCACCCCGTCACCTTGGGATTAATGGCTCTGGCTCTCAGACAGGAGACTGAGGCTCTACCAGAGCAGACAGAATGCAGAGCTGRAAGTTCATCAGTGATGTTTGATCCCTTCAATGGACTCCCAGTCCATCTCCCAGTCTCCGTCACAAACTAACCTGGTCACGGGGACATTCCATCAGGACTCAGAGGCACCTGGAGGCTGGTTCTAAAACTGAGAACCCTGTGGGAGTTCAAGAAAGTCCCAGGCCTRGTGAGCCCAGCTTGCAAAACTGCATCTTGTTACTGTGGGTCCCCCCAAAACAGACCTGAAGGAACGGATGTGAGCACAAGCCATTGGCCTGGGGTGTGCAAGGGAGACCAACAGAGAGGTAGTGACATAATCCAACAAGGGAAGGCAGAGTGCACGGGCGTGTCAGTACAGAAGTGACTCCATATGAGATGGAACAAGAACTCACAAGTCAGAAATTCACAAAGTTCTGACCATAGAGACCAAACGTGGAGGTCAGAAGTCGACCCAGAGCACAGAAAGTTTAGAGTTGATGAGCAGGACCCCAGAATGTCAGAGCTGGGAGAAACCTATGAACAGAGGAGGAAGTTTAGAGTGTACCTATAACGTGTGTGTGTGTGTGTGTGTGTGTGTGTGTGTGTGTGTGGTAGCAGGGAATTGAACCAGAGGGGCTTAATCACTGAGCCACATCCCCAGCCCTTTTTATTTTTTTATTTAGAGAGAGGGTCTTGCTAAGTTGCTTAGGGCCTTGCTAAGTTGATGAGGCTGGATTTGAACTTGCAATCCTCCTGCCTCAGCC